TTTTTAAATACAACTCATCAATATATATATATATATATAATTGATGAGTGTTTTTCGAGTCAAAACGAGCTGAACATGAACTGTTCGCGAATAACGAGCCATTTTGACAACTCTACTTGGTCCTTGACTCGAATGGCTTTCATTCGGTCGGTTTTGAGTCCCGACCCAAATGAGTCGCCCTTAGTCAATAAGTGTTTAATCTTCAGGTGATGTGATATTTTAACTTTCCTTCATTGGGTCATTTTAACCACACGTTTGTCTCACAATCTGTTGAATTTTCTCAAAATTTATGATGACCTATTTCTGATATACAACCAGAGAATTTCACAATTTAACTGGTGGAAATGCTTATCTAAAATGAATGTAAAAGAAAATTATGCACAAGAATTTTCCAAACAATGTATTTTTATGAATCTTTGCATGTGGAATGCCACTAACTATATCTCTTTTCAAATAATGTTGAAGTTCTGCCCCGCACCGAGTCTTTGATTTGTCTTGTATGCTGTGTCTTCATCAAACAAAGTGAATTTACAAAATGATCCAATTCTCAATCTCGTGTCACCATGGCTTCAAATCTTCTGCTCTCTCCAAGCTTAGCCGGCCGCAACCTTCGACCATAATTAACTACGACAACGCAAACAATATCCACGTGGACTTCATAAATGACAGACCCAAATCATTATTCTTACGCATGTGGGTATGAGTATATATATATATATAAAATAGACTATAGTTATATTAATTAAAATATGCTCTACCGACATACTGAACCGGCTAACCAAGTTTTAATAGCTGATGCAGAAAAGCGGGACGTGAAGAGGTTGAGGAGACAAGGTGTTGGCTCGGCTTGATAAGTGATTCTTAAATAGAGCTTGGTGGGCCGCTAAGACAAGTTCATGTTAGCCTCAATTAGACTCATTAGTATGTGAGTTAGCCCTTTTAAAAAAATATATTAATATAAAACAAACTCAAAAATATTAAATTTGGAGATTTTATCTTTAAGTATTAAAAATATTTAAAAAATATGATTTTAATTTTTTTAAATAATTTTTTATTATTTTTCTTCTAATTACTTATTCTATTATTATTTTATTATATTATCGTCTTAAATTAATATAATCTCTCTTCTAAATTCAACAGGTAAAAATATCAGCAATGCCTCCAAACAGATTTTGGAATTCCTAAGAGAAAAATAATATTTTATTAGACTTATAACTATGGCCATGGAAAAGGAAATAAAGGAATTTTTACATTTATACCACAATTCTTATGCATTTGTATACCTAAACTTTAAAATTTATTGTGTAGACTCACCCCGCCGAACACCTGAAATGTTTCAAAGAACTCCTATGAATTGAGTTAGATGAGAAAAATTTTTAATATTGGAATTGGCAAATAAGATATGTCAGGCGACTGTTCTTCCTGGATGGAAGAACCTATAGGCTACGATTAGGAGAGGGATTGTCGAACTCCCTCCTTGTTACGACCGAGGAATGCTAAACTTCTTTCCTTCTGGGAGCTGAAGATCCTTTTGTCTGAACAACATAACCTGTGTACCAAACTCCCTGCTCCTGGCCAAGAACTGCTATCTAAACATCATGCTACAGTGTCGAATCCTGTAGCAGTCGAATACCTCCCTCCTCTCTTCTGCGGTTCTTGGGTGCCAAAATACCTGAACAACCGAATGACTGTAGCCCAAGTCTTATTTCAAATTCCAACTAACAGTGAACCTGGATATTTGAAGCCCTTGCTGAGCAACCGAATAGAAGAAGGGAAAAAAAATGAATCGCAAAAAGAAACGGGAAAAATAGAGGGAAAACTGTATGAAACGAAATGCCACAATGAACAAACACAATAACACAAGAATTACGTGGTTCGGTTCATAGACCTACATCCACGAAGGGAATCACTACCAAATTCACTATGACAAAAGAAGAATTACAGGCTCATTACATTGAGGAATCATTATATTTCTCTAGATCTCTCTCTCTCTACAAGACCTCTCCCTCAACTCTAAAGTCTCTCCACTTCTTCCTCTCATTGCTGAATTTTCTTCCTCATCTTGATCTTCTTGATCAGATTTTTCTGTCTCCTTTTGGTGGTCTAAACTCCCCACAAGACCCCTCATCTATTTATAAGTAGATAAGATCATCTAAGAGGCATGAAAATTACAAGTATGTCGTTAGCCTTAAAATTAGAGCCGTAACAATTTATATATATGTCATCTCATTTATGTATGAAAAGACCACTCTCTTTTTAAGTTAAAATATTGATATTATTTATGATATGAAACAATTTGGTGACATAAATAATGTAAGGATCAAAGGTTAGGTGTTAGATGTGTAAATACATAAGAATTAGGTGGTATGTCTGTAAATGTCATTAAATTAAGTAGCGTAAGATTTCTTGCATATCTTATTGTTGAACCCAATAATGTAATGAGTTTCCTATTTATAGGTTTAAGGAATACACTAGTATAAATTTATCTTTATGTCCCCACTTTGTATAAAGGAATTTATGGATATTAAAGATAATTAATCAATACATCAAAATAAGTTAAATAAATATTTGCTGATCGCAACGATCTTTTGCTCGTTGGCTCATCTTTGTTCGTTTGTCTTTAATGTGTTGAATCATGAGAGGGTAATATGAGAGCTTCTCGGTCGACTTTATCTATGACTTCTACTAAACCCTGGTTCACCTCCTTTGCTAGCTAGGCGGCAAATAATTCTTCTTTGGGTTGGTCCTGCGAATATCTTTCATCCAGTTTTAATGTCAGTTGGTTTGTCATTTGACTAGACAATTTAATAAGATTATGAGCCACACCTTGACTAGTAAAGCCAAGATAAGGGTTATGCTATATAACCAATAGCTAGAGTCAGTCATTGCATGCCTCTTAATAGGAACATCACTCTTAGAGTTAAAAGTGGACTAATTCACTCATGGGGCCAGATCTAGGAAATGTCGATGGATTTCCAATTCCAATCGATGCTACACTGTAGAATTGTAAATCATGGGCAGGTCATCTAACACATGCTCAGATTATGCAGTATATTGAATGTCTTCCTGTTGTTTTCCTTTTCCCTTGGCGTGTGGACTGTTAATCAATAAGAGGATGATTATGAAGTTCATACGGTGACTGAGTAAATTAAAAGAATAGCTTATATTATTTTAGTACAATCATTGTAATTCCTGGGGATTAGACAGTTAGATTTGTTTTGGCCTTGATGACACCATTTCACAGATATGCTGACAATTCTATCGAAAGTGGGAGTACGTTTTTGTAGCTCCATTACAATAGATAGTTCACTTAATTAAAATGTTGTGGCTGCTAATGTGGGTCAATGCTTTGAGTCAAGTAAATCCAAGTTAGGATAAAAGTTCTTAGCTCAGTATGGCTCAATAGAATACTGAAATATTCACTGTCCTTTCTTAGGTTTGTAACTTTTGTTAAGTAAACCGACCTCAACAAAAATTAGCGCTTAGGCTCTGTCAACCTAGGATTGGTCCTAGTATGACCATTGCACCTAGGAAGGATTGCTAAACCCATCTAGTGTAGATTACAAGAATGGATTGGTGATCACCCTTTGGAGTTTTTAGTTCACTGTTTTCTGTTGTATTTCCAGGTATGATTGAACATTACCTTGAGTAATTGAACTAAATTAGATGCAAATAATATTTTTTTTGTGAAGCTTTTTCTGTCTTAGTCATCGAAAACCTGAAAACAAGTAAGGAAATATTTAATTGTCTTAATACCTTAGAATTTAATGATCTTAGGCTAGTTGAATTTCTTTTATTGGGCTGATTGACTTGATTTTAAGCAGACCAAATTAAGACATTAATTAGCATTCTAGTGAAGAATCAAAACCTTCAATAATACTTCAGATGTTTGATTTAGGCTTATTTGAACTCAGATTGAATCACTTTTAACGTCATTGAGTTAATCTTGTCAAGAGACTCAATCTATATTTTTTGTTGAAATTTGCGCTTGATTATCTTGTATTTGAATTTGAAATTTTTTTTTGCTCAAAATGCATTGAGATTCGTGTCTGATTATAAAAATTTCTTGGTGACACATCAACAAATTTTTTTAAAAATTGAAATATACTTTTTTATGCATAGGTTTATGACATCAAGATGTCAAATTGTAAATATCAAAATTTGGGTGGTACACATGTAATTGTATGGCATCTATGTAAAATTTTCCCTTTTATCCCTCTTATTATTATTATTATTTTTTAGATACAACCGTATAAAATAACTCTTTTAACTGAGACAATTTAGGTTTCGTTTGAGAATGTGGCAGACCTCCGTTCTGTTGAAGAGAATGACGACAAAACTATTGTTGTATGTTTGGTATTTTCCGGTCTCCCCAAGATGCGTCAACCACATAGGTGTTTCCTCACCATTTCAAAATGCTACATCTCTAAGGTCCAAATAGCCTCAAGCAAGGCAATATAGCTGGAGAATGTCCCTTGTTTCCTTTGCTTCCTTCACCTCTCCTCCAGTGCAAATCCCTTTCCTCATCTGAAATCAACCAATCATCAATTTTCTCCAATTCAGGAGAGAAGGGAGGGAGGGAGAGGGAATAGTTTGGTGGGAATCTGAGTACTCTGCTAGCATATTAAGAAGCATGCTTCGGTATAAAGAATCCACCTTCTCACACAGGAAGGAAGCCTTTCTTTTAAAATTAATAAATGTTGATAAGAATAGAATGGGGCTATATTCATCATTTCTTCCTTCAGTTTTAGAAGGCACAAAGAAATTTATATTCAAACAGTAATTGCATTTTATCAAGTGTAATTTCATAACAAAGCCTTAACTGGATTCAGGGGCTGAGATGGTTGCATCTAAAATTAGGATCCAAGTGCCCTATCGCCCAGCAGTGAAAAGAATTTAAAAAGTAGTTATTTATCTTATCCTCTTGTTATTTAGGGACCGCGTGTAAGGCAACATTAATGAACAGGAAAAATTTACGAACATAGACCTCAGTATAAAACATGTGTATTTATTTAAGCAAAGGTGAACCCAATCACGCAAGACTCAGCTACGAGACTTCCGTTGGATCCTTCCTTGTGGATTCGGTTTCCGCCTCTGTTCAACGATTCGCTTCAATCCTCCGTCTCTCTCTCTCTGTCTCTCGCTCGCTCGCTGGCTTACTCACTCTCTCCTTTTTTGGATTCTTCCTCACGATATTGAAGCTTTCGATTATGCTGCAGCGATTTGTTGACAGCGTACTCGCCGTCATCAAGGAGTAAGATTTCTGCTCTTCCTCAACCTTTTGATTTCTTGCTATCTTTTTCCAAATTTGTTTCTCTTGGTATTTTGGATGCATGGAACATCTCTTGTAAAGTTTTCATTTTCCTCGATATTTGATGATCGAGATGTTTCAAGATTCTGTTTTGGGTTTGATAGAGGGTTATCTTGCAGCATTCGATTGTTTGTTTTGGTGGATTGGATTCAAAATTTGATTTAGCTGTAAGATGAAATTAGGGCGAATGAGTTGGTGAAGCAGGCTATTTCTCCTTTTAAACACGTTTGTGCTTTCTCATAAAGAAAACCGTGGATGATCCACTTAGCGGATTCTTTTTCCTTTTTTCTTCTTTTTTTCAGGATTTGATTGCTAAAGATTATAAAATATTTATAGTGGGCAAATTTTCTGTTTGACTTGCGTATTCTACAACTGAGGTGGCGGTGATAGAGGAGAATTATCTTTTCCTGATTAACCGGGGTATTTGACGCAGTTTTCGTCTCTAAATTAGAAACCCGTCTGTTGGCCCTTGATAAAGGGGATTGATTTGGTCACCCTCTTCAATCAAGCATCTACCCTATGTGCGGTACAAATCTATAGCTATGAAATAGAGCTAGTCGCTTTTGTTCTGCACTTGAAATCTCGTTTCTCAAATCTCTTGTTCATATTGGCTTACTAGAAGATTTCATGTTTTTTGGGAGGGCAAAGCAATTTTGTCTGTTTCGAAGATTTTCTTTGCTGGTTTGACAAAGGATTACCTGAAAGGGCACATGTCTTTCTGGAAACTGTAGAAGCCCTAATTGTAAGCTCATTTGGAATGTTGAGCCTTTTGAACGCAGAAGAGGCGTGTGGCTATGATCTTTGTGGAATGCTTGATTTTATTTTTCACTATTTGTAAATTAATAACCATGAAGTCAGCCATGAGTTATTGGTGGCTAATCTTTTTCTAGTAAAGCAAGAGCTTAAACATGGGGGCCAATTCTTAAGGCTTCCAGGTCAAAAGCTAGTTGGCGTCTGAACCATTCATTCTTTGTTTCAGGATATCTGATTAATAACACATTAATTTTCACAGCAAGATAATCTTGATTATGTGTCTCAAGTTGTGAAATTGATGCCGTTAGCAGTTTTCCTTCTTGAAAATAGTGAAAGTTAATTATTATGGTTTGTTTGAAGTAATATAAACGTTTGTAAGGTCAATCATGAAATTATTTCAGAAAAAAAATTTATTCTGTGAAGTTACCATATAATTTGTTTCTGTATAAATGATAGAGTTGTAAATGTTTGGATCGAGAAGCGACTGAACGTTTGTTTAATGTATAAATGATAGAACTGTAAATGTTTGGATCGAGAAGCGACTGAATGTAGCTACATTACAAGAAGGCAAGATAATGCGCTCAATCATATAAGTTGTTCTAGACATTACAATTTCTAAGATTTAGTTGAAAAGTTTTCAGTCGAGTGCTAGTGTGATTCTGATTTGGAAAGCAAAGCTGATAGAAAATTGTCCTAAGCTAACCTTAAAATAATTTCTTTGGTGAATTCTTTCCAATAACATTATCTACCTTCTTTAGCTCCCTTCTTTTGCAGATGTTGTTCCGGTTAAAATCATATATTATGGCAATTTTCCAATATTTCTTACCAGTTAATGCAGTCTGACCTTTCTTTCAACAACAACTTAAGATTAGTTTTTTTCATCAAATTTTGCAGATCAGTGAAGACATTCACATATGAATCTTTGAATAATATTGCAAGGTTTATTAATGGAGCCTCTGCTCTTATGTTGGCCATCCTTCCTGGGAAAGCGAACATTTTAGAGGGCATTTATGGCTGGGAGCTTAGGCCTAGCTTCCGTGGACCTCGACTCCCCCGATGGATGGAGAAGTAAGTTCTTGGTTTTGTGTTCTTTTCTTTTTGATGATAAAGAAGTTCCTCATTTGGCATCTATTATGTTTTCCGCTGTGTAGAGTTATTTGGTTGGATGGAATATTTCCAACTACTCATTACAACAGCTTATTATAACCTTATTTTATTTCAGTAACTGTAAATGGAATGATTAGAGGAAAGTTTCTTGACTGCAGTTTATTTTACTTAGATTTTAAAAACTTTGACGACGAAATTCTAATTTTATCTTGTGATGTTATTTCACATAATGATGCTTATTTCATTAATAATATGAACTAAAATATAGTTTTATTTTTACTGCAAGGTCTCAGTGTTTGTCATGCTAAAATGAACTTTCTCTTGTTTTTGTTCTTGATGGCAGTGGCGTGTCTTCATTCAATCACTTCATACATGAACTTGATTCTGATTCCTCGAGTATTGATTATTCATCCGGAGAAGATGATAATGATGGAGACATTTTTCCAGCTTCTCCTTCTTCATATACCTCTCGTTTGTCTCATGCAAGCAGCTTTTCTAGAAACAACAAACGATTAACATGCATGCTACCAATCGTGTTCTTGATTTCCTTGATATTGTGGCCTTTGAAGTTTCTTTTGAAATTTTCTTTGAGGATTCCATCCTTGATTTATCGTTCAGCTGGATTTAGGACAGGTGGAGATACCTCCAGTGGCATTGATGGAGACCAGTTAAAAAATGACCCACATGCAAATAAGAAGGCAGCCCATCTTAAAGACCAGGTTGTTCAGCGCACTACAGATAGACGGCGAGGAGTGGTTGAAGTAATGGAGAATTCACTGTTCTTCTTCCTCTTATTTTCATAGTACTTATTTTCTTTCTTATAGCTACTTTAATGAGATTAATGATTATTATTTTTTTCAGGATCTTCAACTAGCTATTGAAGTGCTTATTGAAGCAATTTTTGATATCTTCCACAAGGCAGTACATTTTCTTCTTTCGCCATCAGAAGTGTACCAGAAACTTTTAGGGAGTTTGTCTTCTCATGACTTTGATGTACCTGTTCCCACTTCTACCCTTGCTGATGTTGATCCCACTCCTACCGAGAGGCGGACTTCGTTTAGACGGTCTTTGAATACGGATGCGCGTACTTGCCAGGATGTAATTACTGAGCTTGGGTATGAGCTTTTGTTTCAAAATGCTTTATGGCTTTATTGTTTCTTAGTGTTTTTGTTAAAGGCATGTTACGCTTGGTTTGCATAGCATAATTAGTTTTTGTAAATATAGCACATAATTTTGAAGATGGTATTATATCCGGTTGATGTGTTAATTGGAACTTGAGGATTGAGGAAGAAAATACATGTGGTCTACTAGTATATTTAATTTATACTAGTATAAATTATGAGTGAGATCGTAGATGTTAAGCTTGAAGCTTATAGGGTGTTTTGGTAGTTTATATTGCCTTAAAACAAGGAGAACAGTGTCAAAATGGTCCTCTAATTTTTTATAGGGGGCCATTTTAGTCCTAGAGTTTATAAAAACGTCAATTTAATCCCCAATTTTTTTAATATGAGTTGAATTAATCTTCAATGATGACTATTTTAGCCCCACTAAAAGAGTATGGAGACTAATTTATCATCTTTATAAACTCTGGGACTAAAATTGTCCCAAGTAAATAATTAAGGGACTATTTTCGCATTTTACTCTTAAAACAAGTGATCTAAGCATAATTATGGTAGATGCTTATATTTGGACAATTATTAAAAGAAGGAACTTAAAAAAAGGATATTTTTTAACAAGTGCTTGACGAATGAAGCCTTGCAATCATAATGATTTATGAGATTTTCAATGTATGACTGAGGCAAGGCCTTTGAGTATTACATTAGGATTATGCTTCTATCTATTAAGCAAGAAAAAAATGTTGCAGTAGGGTTAAAATAGTTTTCTAAAGAATAGTGAGTTTGTTCCTGAATGCTGTTTTTTTTTTTTACTTTAGTTATGTGTGTTGTGTTTGAGATGTGTAATGAAATATTAAGTTGTTTGCACCATTGATTTATTTTTTTTTAATGTTATCTTGAGGCTAAATATAATGGATTTTATATGATCCGGTCAACCCCATGGCTCGTGCTTAGTCAACAACCAAATGAAGATTCCACTTACCTGTTCTCGAAGATAGAAATCTCCTTTTAACCAATGGAGAAGCCATAAACCAACACACTTTCCTTCATTGATCAGCGTAACCCGATGTTGCCTCTTATTTTGGATGAGTAGATCCCGACAACTAATCCTTATGAGTTTAAGCCTGAAGAAGATAAAATTTTCTGAATAAAAAAATTCAAATCTTTGTGGTGATTGGAAAATTTACTTTCTAATTTACTCACAATTCACTAGATTGATTTTTACAATGAATGCTTCCTTGCAAACTAAATACATACAGTTAATGATGAAAACTATATTTTTCAAAATAACCTTAAGATCTGATTAATTAATGATATTATCAATATAATTTAAGCCTTAATTATATATATAATGAGTTAGTTTTTTTGCTTGGTTTTGTATCTACTTACTTTCAATTGAACTTCACATAAAAAAAACTCTTTAACTTGTAATCTGATATTTGTAAAGGCCACAAACAAAGCTTTGTTTGCAATGAAAAGCAATTTCAGTTTTTGTGAATAGGGTTAAATGAATTAAGTCTTTAAAATATGTTTTTGTATTTATTAAAAGAAAAATGATGGAAAGATGAAACTGAATTTCACATAATGTGGTTACAGGATGGTGCTAACAAATGAATCTACTTCGGAAAGATTCATTATGAATGAAGGAAACTAATTTCAGTTTTCATGATGAAAGAGCACAGAAAGATATATTCATGAACTACGAAACTAAAGCATAAGAAATCAATTTTTTGTAAAATCTGTAAGTAGCACGATTGAAAAATTTTAATTGATCTTACCAAAAAAAAAAAAAAAAAAAAAAAAAAAAAAAGAAAGAAAACTCTTAAAGAACACTATGCTATTTTAGCTCTGCATTCTTCCCAAATGATGCTTTTGAAATTTGCAAAAAAGAAGATGCTTTTGGAAATATTCTCCCAAAAGAATATAGTTTTGCAGTAGTTTGATCTTGCTATGTTTTTGTTACCGAGGGTAAAATGTCGCCAACCATCTCCTGATGCTTGTGTAGAGGATATATAATCTTATTGGAGATCTTGACTATTCAAACAATTGAAGGATAAAAAATCTAGTTGATGGATGACAAGCTTTGTGGTACTTGCTAGATGAAGCAATGCGATGATTAGTTGATCTGTCAGTGAGAGAGCCTTTGTGTCAGTTCATCAAATAGGAGAGTCACAGATGTTATTGACCTAATTTAAGTACCGCATCTTTCATTTTTTGAGATTTTTCTGATCCTATCATTTTTTATTTTGACTTGAAACTAGGCATTTGCCAAAGTAACTCTCATGCTAGTACGACATTATTGCGATTCATCGAGCTTGAATCATGTGCTTTTGGCAAGAGACTGTTGGTGTTAATTAGGTGCATAAGATATCATCTAGGGTGATGTAGGTATTGTGTAGCACAGTATAGTGCCTATCTCTTAGATTTTGGTGCGGATCTTGGTGTTGATAAATTTTGCGTGGATAACCTAACTAAAGACTAATAAGAGGCTTAGTTTGCTTGTGATGATGTGGCACATATGCGAGATCGCCTCTAGTCTAGCCTTAGCTAAAGTGTTTACATCAAGGAGCTCTTATTCGAGGGAATGAGGGCATTTCTTGCTTTCAAACTTTTTTTAGCATCAAGCTTTCTCAATAATTTCACTGATAAAACCATGGAGAGGAAGGCTTGTAGGTCTTTGTTTTGTTTCTTATTCTTCTTAAAAGGGGTTAAGGTAATGAAATATTTCAAGAATCTTTAAGTCATTTTCTCATAATATTTTTAGAAGACAAGAGGTTTCGGTTTGCACATTGCTAACATATATAAAATTGGAGTTTGAAATGTGTTAAACACCTAATTTAAGGTGATTTGTTAATGATTAGCATATTTGGTAGTGTATTATGGATATAAATTTGAAACTTTAAGAATAAATTTTAGTGGAATATTGCCAAATTTGATCACTAATATCTTTTGTTGTGAACTTAAGCACAAGCTAATAATATTGAAAATAAGTGTCTTTTTGTTTTTTACATTTGCTTCATCTTTGATAAAACTATTTACAAACGCGATGGTTTTTTTATAACAGTTCAAGCTAACACTTTGTACGGGCCTTTAGTTTCTTTAAGCGACTTCCAATTCAGTTTCTTCACCGCATTTTAAATGTTAAGAGAGCTTACAAACTTGTGCATATTTTTCAGGTAAATGATTCTAGACTTCTTAAGTATGACGCCCATTTTAGTTTCAAACTACTTAGATGTGAAATTTAACTCACTCAATTTAAACCAATTTGGTTCCTGTATTGAATTTGTTGTTTACTTAGATGGAAACTGGCAGGTAAAACTTTCCATAAGTGCATTTTAAACATTTTAGGATCAATCTCAAAGCTTAATAATAACTTATTCTAATGAGATTGACCTTATAATTTCAATTTTCACTTTTGGAAGACTGATCTAAATCCACACCATTCTTGACATCACAACTATCATGAAGGACACTAGAACTGCAACAAGAGAATTGAATTGCTAGAAAGCAAACTTAGGAATCAACTTATCGTAACTCGACTTCAATCATTAACCTGGTCAATCCCATCAAGTTTTCAAGTGCAAGTAAAGGCTCACCATCAAAATTAGGGATACTATCAATATTGACATTCATATTAGTATTTTGAAGACTTTGATCACTCTTAATAAACACACAACTTGCTCAAAGACATCATTTTCATTTCAGAATGGGACTTAAAATAAGTTGATTTATCATGTCCAAAAATCTTACAAGCTTTTTAGTGGGAAGGAAAATTTTAAAATTCTTTTTTTTTTCTCCAATAATTCCATCTTTAGGTTTAGATCTTTATTTCCATTACCAAGGGAACTGAAACATTACTTTCCACCATAACTCTAGTTACTAAAGTTTTTGATATTTTGGCTATAGCAAGTTTTATTTGAATAGGTTTACAAGAAATAGAATCAAGTATAGCGATTTTTGATTAAAAAAATGCATGAAGTTGAGAGAAAACCACTCAAAAGAGGGTGATAGATGGGTCATTAGATAGGTCAAAGAAAGACGACAACCAACATGTGCATTGGAAACCCATTACATGGTAGGATCCACTTTAGAAAAACTTGAATAATAAGCCTTAAAAATAACTTGACGGGCACCTAATGAGAGTTATAGAAGACCAAAAGCATTTTCACCACTGAAAGCCAAAATAAACCATTATGAGTAACCTCTAAGTTTGCTTATCCATGGGTAAATTTTGCAAATGAAGTGAAAGAAGGAATAGCTAATTTTATAATTTATGAAGCTTCTAAAAAAATGCGATTGAGTTTACCATGATTGAGACATTGTGATTGCTATTGGAAAATTGATAGAAGTCTTGCAGGGTTTAGGGTCTCCAAACTGACAGTGGGAGAAAAAAAATTTCTCACCCCAATAGCTTTAACATAAGAATTGAAGGCCTAGCAACCACCACTTATAGGACCACATGGGCACTTGAAAAAAAAAAAAATCAGTTTATAGGACCACATGGGCACTTGACCACCACTTATAGGACCACATGGGCACTTGAAAAAAAAAAAAATCAGTCAATGAGGAATTACGAGCGGCAAACAAATCAAAGGCCGCGTCAATATGCATAGACACCAATAACTCCATCATAAGGTGTAAGAAGAGGAGCATCATATGAAACTGATGGGATGGGAGGCAAGGTGAGGAGAGGTAAGGCTGTGGAAATAGAGAAGGCAGTAGATGACACACTCGAAGAGTATATGGCAGAGCTACGACATGCGAATGAAAGAAAGAAGATTGCATAACAAGTTGAACCTCTGGGGATCTTACAGACGAGAAAACACTGGCCCAACCCCTGCACTAAGAGCCTGAAATGATGGGGATGATGATTGAAGATGAGCAACAAGGAGCGAAAGATATGTGCAGCCTTCGAGAGAAAGAAGTGTGAGAGTTAGCAGGGAGCTGATGCCATGAGTGAGCCACACAAAGTAAAGAAGAGCAGTGGCCATAAGTAGAGGGAAGAGCAGCGACACCAGTGCACTGTAGCATCAAGGCAGAGCAAGCACCACTAAGACAATGAGAACAAACAGCAAGGAGGGGGCCATATGGGTGATTTTCGTTTGTTTTTGTTTTTGTTTTGTTTTGTTTGTTTGTTTGTTTATTTTTTTTATTTTTATTTTTTGACATCAAATGGCGTTTTTCAATTGTAATGTTGTTGTTTTAGGCTCTGAAGGCATATTTTTTCCATTTTATGATCTCTAGAAACTTAATAATTTTGTGGAACTAGTAAACCTATGAATCACGGCCAAGGGTCATTGTATTGTGACATACTCCTGGATGCTGGGACGTTTGAAACTTCTTGTTGTACATGCCACCTGATGTGTCTAATTTTAACTTATTTTAAAAGAAAATTCATATTCTCGCTAAGCACCTTGGATAGTAAGGGGAAAATATTTTATGTTTATTTTAAAAGTCAATGTCATTTTAACTCATTTATGTGCATATCATTATTTTTTTTAAGTCTCTTATTTTCTCTTTGTAATCAACTTTTATTTGATGTTCTAACTGCTTGATGAATTCCCAACCTTTTGGGCTTTGTTTCCATTTGCATGCTTCCACTCTTGTCCTCCTTTCCCTCATATACGCCTTTAAAATTGATGCAGCTTGATGTACAAAGATTTTGCTTAACATATAACCATGTATATCAGGTTGATATATTTGGAAGGATATTATCAAAGGTTGTGTTATTTAGCTAATGAAAAAAAATAGCAGAATTTGACTAAAGATGATATCCGAGCAGAGCTTCCAAATTTTGTTTATTTTCTTCATCTTTTGTTGTTATGCCGCCTTGTTCTTAAATTAATTTTTCTTATTGTTGTTTGAATACACACTATAGATATCCTTACGAGGCCATTCGTGTGGTTACATCTGATGGATATGTTCTGCTCCTTGAGAGGATCCCCAGGTATAAGCTAGTGCTAAGTTCTCTTTAACTACTTTAATTATGTTAATGTTGAACTTATTGGGCCACGTTATTTGCTATTTTATAGGCGTGATTCACAGAAGGTTGCTTACCTCCAACATGGAATATTGGATTCTTCAATGGGGTTAGTATTTCTTATTATTTTGACCTATATATTGATTTATGATTTATTGAGATTTTTTCTCTCTTTGTGGAATTTTCAGTTGGCTGCTGTTTTGACCGTTCTGATAACATTTTAAATGCGGCCATAGGTTTTGCTTAGCTTTATATTTGTTAGCAGGCTAGTCTGAAGTTAAAACCTCTTTTTGTGGATGATTTTTTACATTGCTCTTTTTATAAGCACATGAGTTTTTGTGTGCTGCAAAGTGTAGAGCGGAATAGTGAAAATCATTTAAAAATGGATTGGAGCATGGAAAAGATACAAACACAGCATATTTTTTTTTCCTTCCAATAGATGTTGTAACTTGGAGGCATGATCTGAATGAGCTTTAACTAAACTCAAAATTTGTATGTAATATGAAACGTGAGGTTTAGGGCTTGTTTAGTATCAATTTTATTTTTATGTTTTTGTTTTTATTTTTTCCTTTGTTTTGAAATATTTTTTGTTTAGTGTGCTTTTCACATGTTTTTATTTTTTATTTTCTTAAAACAAATAAACATATTTTTGAAAATAGTCAAAATAACTTTTTGGATATTTTTGATATTTTAAAAAACAGTAGTATCTTAATCAAATATCTCCAAAATATTTTGTTTCAAATCAAAACATAAACAAAATAAATTAAAAACAAAATTGATCCCAAATGGTCCATTAGTTTTATGAAGATTTTCGCAAAAATTAATGTTTCTTGGAAAGTCTAACTCAATGCCAAGTCAAGGGCCTACTAATTATGTTTATTGCTTATATATAATATCTTTATTTGTGGTATATATCACCATTTTATTGTAATAGATGTCTCAGAGTTTTTTGTTATTCTCCACTACTGGTGGTATTTTTTTTTCTCTTCACTCTAAATATGTTTGAGTGCGGAATTGGTGGGGTCAGTGCTCACGTAGGTAGGTTTTATTGTACAAGCCCTTCCATTGATGCAATATCATGATTTTTATTTTTTATTTTTTGGCTTTCTTGTTGTGATTTATTTATCATGCTATTAGAGGGATCTACGTATATTATGATGGAAATTTGTTAAGTTAATGCTAGCCGAAACTATATAAAATGAATTGTAAGAGGAATATGCTTTGCATTAGATTTTCTTTTTATTTTGTGTTAACATTACCTATGCGTTGATTCTATTGGGAATGATCTATATCTTCTAATGTTTTGACATTATTTTTAGGTTTGATTTTTGGTTGCTAGTTATTAAGATTCAACTCTTGAATATCCCTTATCACTTTTTTCCATCCATTCATTGTGGAAAATTCTTGTCCAAAAATTCTTGTTGTTCATATTGTAGACTTTTTGCAGCTCTTTGATGGGAGAAGTCTTGCTATTTTGATTTCCGCATTATGGTTTAGGGCGAAATACATTGATTTTATGTGGTGGTACTGTTGTTGGAAGGAGTTGGATGCTCAGTCTGTTGTAACACGTGCATAATACCACTGTTCCTTTGTTGTTTCTTTGTTTCCTTCAACACCCGATCAATCCTATGGCTTATGTATTGTTGCAAACTTCATTGGAGTTATTTTCCCCTATTTTTCTGTAAAATACTGGTGGCATGCTAAAACCTTTTTATTTTGCTCAAAATGAGCTAGAAACTTGTCGTTTATGTTGGAATTTATATTATTGAATTGAAAATTGCAATTTTTGTTGGTTTAGAAGGATTCTAAGGAATTATTATTTTCGGTCCTTTGTTGGCTATAAATTAAGTCTCTGAAGTATTTAAAATTCATACTACATTATGTATTGCACTATAATTCATTTTTCTTCAATTTCCCATCTAAATTGATCGAATTTGTATTCTTCGAGTACTTTTTAGTTATTGACAAGTATAAGAGTGAGTCTGCTGACTCAATACATAAGAGTGAGTCTGCTGACTCGGCATCAATGATGAAAGTTTCACAAGTGTTGTTGCCAAATCTGCCTTCAAGCTTATGAATTTAATAGTTAATGCAAAGTAGTATGGTTAAATAAAACAAAACATCCTAGACCCTAAAAATTAAACATGCCCCAATCTTAGTTGTTACCCATGGACCGCTTCTCCACTCGAGGCTACACTTTCACCCATACCTTGGTGCTAACTCATGTCTCATTCTCTCTTTCATGTCGTACATTTTATGCACACATGCACAATTCATGAATGTTGCTTTTTCATTATGTGAATTGTTGGTTACCCGCAACTTTCAATTGTACTTTTGCTCCCATGCAATGCGCCCTTGCACACTTCATAACTAGTAATTCTAAGCCCACACATGGCCTACTCTCCTCATTTGTAACCCATTGCACCCGTGTCTCTCTTTTCACCACACTTCAAAAGTTTTGCACTTGCACATATGCACATAACCAATGCATGTTACCTTTTTTATTTTTTCCACAACCACTAGCTTTCTTTGCTCACCCGTAAATCATTCTTTATTTTGCTCTCCTAGAACTTCAATTTGATCTTATTTTTGCACGCAATGCACTCGCTATAACTAGCAATACCAGGCTCACTATATGAGCCAAATTTTTAGGGCTTGAGAATCTAATGATTTGCACAACCTTTTAGCTTTAAGCTACCTTTTGGATTAATTTCAAACAGTGTCATGACATAGCATTTTTATTTCAATTAATAAAAGCCCTATACTATCTACCATTAAATTGAATGATACAAATTGACGCATGGTCGAGGGCTTTCTTGATACCGGAGTTAACTCAAACCACGATGCAAGACTCAAATTTAGTAATAACTTAAAAGAACGATTACAACGATGACTCAAAAAAGAAGGAAGACACCACATAAAATCAAAATATAAAATAAAACATTACAAACAAAGACGACAAATAAAGACATAACAAGCTCAACGAGGAGGGAAACCGTAGAGATATTGCTGGATCGGCGGTTGCGGTGAAGGCCGGAGCGATGTGGGTGAAAGAGGGCAGTAAGTCGATACGACATTTTCACAACTGCCACTTCGATTATTAGGCTGCAAACTTTACCTTTTACTGTACATTTCATGCGAAAGATGATGTTTTAGCGATGATTGATCACGTGCTGGTTTTGACTGTAAGACTCGTCGTATGACTAATAATTCACATGTGTCCTCGGGAAGCTAAAGTGCTTCGTCAGTATTGTCATCTTCCTCCTCATCCTCGCTTTCCTCCACGACACGTTCGTCTGTAAAAGATACAATTCGGCTAGTGGGACAACTGAAGGCGATTTGGCTGATACCATGGCATCTAAAACACTTTCTGGCTTGCAGGGCCGGATGAGCTTCCCTTCTTTACTTTCTTACTGCTTTGGTCGGAAGCCCTATTGTTCCCTTCTCGAGTTTCTTACGCTGGCTGGCATGAGCTTGGGTGAGCTTTCCTTCCAGACACTGGTTTCCCCGTTCCGGGCATGCCTTTGTTGGTTGTTGTCATTGCTGGGGTTGGTTTGTATGAGGCTTGCTGTCGGAAGGAAGACTGTGGTTTGGCTTGCTTCCGTTGCCTTTCAACTTTCAAGGCTAAGATTTGGATGTCAATCAATAACCAATAGGGTTGTAATTGAACTACATTGCCAATGGCGGGCTTCAGGCCTTCGAGGTAGCAAGCGATGATATGCTTCTCTTGTTCGACTAAATCACACTTTATTTGTAACTGATTGAATTTGGCTTCGAATTCCTTGACAAAAATCTCTCTCTGTTATAGGTTGTGGAACTTCAGGAATTTATCTTGGCGGTAGTGTGGGGGCATGTATTTCCATAGTAAGGTTTTCTGCATTTTGTCCCACTTATTTATTTTGTCACTATCGCCCCTTATTCGCTGTCGTTGTAGGTTATCTCACCTTACGAGGCGTTCTTTTTTAGTTTAATAGTTGATAGTATGGTCCTCTTATCTTTAGGTATTTCCTTATATTTGAAAGTTCGTTTGACTGCTCGCAGCCAATCAAGAAATTCATATGGATCCATACCTCCATCAAATTCGGAGAAATCTACTTTAATGTTGAAGTCGCAGTGGCCTGTGGGTTTTTCCTGTGGCCGCCTCTGGTATTGGATGTCAAGACGACATGGTCGGTATTCAACGTGTCGAAGTCGCGGTGGCCTGAGGGTTTTTCTTGTGGTTGCCTCTGGTATTGGATGTCAAAACTGCATGGTCGTCGGTATTCAATGGATTTTGATCGTCATCCATGTCTTCTTGTCGGCTCTTTAGGTCACGATCGAGCTGACTTCTCCATGGGTCCCTTCATCGAGTTCTGTTAATTGTTATTGTAGAGGTCCAACGTTACAATCCCTTTTACAAATAACCACCTAGATTGTTTCTATATTCCCTATTTACAATTAAACCCCTCAAAATAAGATACAAATCTTAACAACATTTATAATCTTCACTCCCTCAATTGACTGCCTGAAATTTCAATGACTTTGATGAGCTCAAACAAGTCCAATTATGCTGCAGAAGTCTATGGGATAGCTCAAAGCAGCGAAATAATTCATTCGACTTTTACAAGGAGATTGAACAGTTGAAACATGTAGAGATTACCCAGATCAATAAGCTTCAAAACTGATTATAAAATTTACTAAACTTTCTAAATTCATTTATTCTCAGATTTGATTTTGAGTATAAATAAACAGATTCCATCACTTTGTAGAATATACTACGAACAATGCATATTTTCACTAACAATCTCAAGTCATGCAAGATAGCCAATTTGAAATGCTCGTTTCTTTCTTTAAAGTATTTATATAATCTTAAATGGATTGGTTTATTTAGAGGAAATATATTTATTCATGCAATTACTATCCATGTTACAATCCTAAGATTGAGCTTATCTGATCCATTATTTGTTGGCTTTGTTTCAGTTGGGTTTCCAATGGCGTGGTTGGTTCTCCTGCATTTGCAGCCTATGATCAAGGTTGGTAACCTTTCTGAAATGGCAGTCATACGAATTCGATTTAATGAGTAAAGTGTCAAAAAGACCCTTGACTATTTACAGGGGCCGGCTTAGTAAATTAGTCCCCGGACTCTTTAAATTGGAGCGAAAATAATCCTTTGTGAGGACTATTTCAGCCTATATTAAATGGGTCTCGGGACTAAATTGACACTTCTATAGATTCGATACTTGTCTTAAATGACTCCCCTTGCAAAGTGGTAAGGGACAATTTTGACACTTTTCTCATGATTTAACCATATTGAATGTTATAAAATCATCAAGTTGATTTGCATTAATTTTACGTTGGTATTCTCTAAAATTTTCAGGTTATGATGTTTTCCTTGGGAACCTGCGTGGTCTAGTTTCAAGGGAGCATGTTGACAAAAACATTTCTTCACGCTTGTAAGTCATCCTAGTCATTCTTTGTAAGACTGACGTGAATACAGTCGTAGAAGACTTAGAGACATGTTAGTTAGAATTTCAAATCATTAGCCTACAGGTGTCCCCGTTGGTGAGGATCTTCCGGGCTTTCCATAGGGTTCTGAGTTCAAGACTGGCATTGGGGTTGTCATTTTTTTTGTGCGTTGTCACTCAAATTCGATAAAAAAAAAAGGAAAATTTACGTACATACCACCCAATTCTGGTGTATTTACATCCGTAATGCTTGAAGTTTCATATTTGCTCTTATTACACTTTGTTGTCATATATTTATTGAAAATGTGCATCACTTTTAAAAGTTAGTAGTGATGGCATTTTGATATGACATTAATGGTTTGGGTGTTTCCTACAAATACATAGAAATTGTTTGGTATGTATGCAAATTACCCCGAAAGAAGAAAACCTAGTATTTGCAAATTACATCTATTAGGCATCATCTGAAGGATGACTAGTTCTAATGGGGCCTTTTTGTCTTTCAAGATTTTATTCAGATAATTGCCTCGTTTTATATAAGAATTGTTAGTTATGGCATCGTTTGAGTTGAGATGTGTTTAGTTGCTGAGTGGAATATAGAAGGTTAGAGTATTTACATATATTCCACTCAATTCCTATTCATTTACTTATCTAACACCTAAACTTCAATTTTTACATTTATGCGCCTACTTACCTGTTCATAAAAGGTCTACTTCAAAAGTTAAAATGATGGTATTTTTTATGTGATGTGAAAGTTTGGGTGGTATTAATGTAAAAATTATATTTTAGCTGTTAAAAATGTAAATAGGTAGGAATTGGGTCATATGTATGTAAATGCTCCTAAAAGGTTTAGCAATTTCTCTGGCTCGTACTCTCTGCTCTATCCTTCCCATTGATGAAGTATATTAGTAGCTATTCCAAAACATACTGCCTCAACTCCATTCCATATGACAATAGAACATCAATCAGTCGCATTTAAATCAACTTCATGCATTAATGCCAACTTTAGCCCTTCCTAAATATTTGCCTCCACTTTAATCCAGGTATTGGAAATATTCGATCAACGAGCACGGAACCAAAGACATGCCTGCAATTATCGATAAAATACATGAAATCAAAACATCCGAGCTATCATCACATCTCAATTCCGAAGATTTAGTTGTGGGTCCTCATCCCTATCAACTCGGCGTAGTCTGCCACAGCCTCGGAGGAGCGGTGATGCTGATGTACATCATCATGCGCCAGATAGAAGCGAAGCCCCATAGATTATCGAGGATGATTTTACTCTCTCCTGCTGGCTTTCACGAAAACTCCACATTTGTGTTTACCATAGCAGAGCATCTCATTCTACTACTCGGTCCGATCCTTGCACCTATCGTCCCTGGACTTTACATACCCACGAGGTTTTTCCGCATGCTGCTGAACAAATTAGCGCGGGACTTCTATAACTATCCCGCACTAGGCGGACTCGTTCAAACTCTAATGAGCTATGTTGTTGGTGGCGATAGCTCAAACTGGGTGGGGGTGCTCGGGTTGCCTCACTACAACATGGATGATATGCCCGGTGTGTCCCTTCATGTTGCTATCCACTTAGCGCAGATAAAACGAGCAAAGAGGTTTATCATGTATGATTATGGAAGCGAAGCTGCCAACATGGAGGCATATAATTCGCCAGAACCATTGGATCTTGGGCAGTATTATCATCTCATTGATGTGCCTATAGATCTGGTGGCTGGAAGAAAAGATAAGGTGATAAGCCCATCCATGGTGAGGAAGCACTACAGGCTGATGAAAAGGGAAGGGGTGGAGGTTTCCTACAATGAGTTCGAATACGCACACCTTGACTTCACGTTTTCACATAGGGAAGAGCTTCTGGCCTATGTTATGTCACGGCTTTTGCTCGTCGGCTCATCGCAGAAGCTGCAAGGGGAGCAGGACTCCATTAGGTTTAAAAGATCAACTAAAATTTTTTCAAATAGTGTACGGAATAATGAGTATGGCCAACAGGATGAAATCAGACCCGTGGAGTGAGCTTTGGCTTATATAAGCAGCTTTAGGGCTCAATGGGTGAGATAAATTTGTGTCTGTATATTACATCAATAAATTGTTGTGGTTTTGGCATTCGGAAGTCAGCGCTGAGAGCCGGAGTCTGTCATGACCTCTAGTACTTGGTGGTGGTGATATGGAATGTCAAAGGGGAATGTTTTTGTCCTTTCCCCATATGTAACTTTAACAAATTCGGTAGACTTTAATGTAAATTACAAAAACTTCCAGGATATTCTGTAGTTAACAGTTATTTAAGTGCAATATCATTACAATTTTACATTCTGGATGCTTGGAAAAATATGCAATTATTATTTCTTATTTTCAGAATGACAGGATAATTTATATAGGTGGACTGATTTGAAGTGGAGTGAGGGTGTTATTTCTTTTATTTTGATGTGAGGCTAAAATGAATGATGAAATATTCATTGAATATTAATTGTTCTTTTAATTATTACCTTATTTTTCAGCCATCAATTGTTTTCTACCAACCATTATTTAATTGTCTGCACGGTTTGTGTAAGATGTTACAAGACGTTTAAAGATTGATGGGTATTGAAAGTGTGTTTGAGGATGAGAGTTAGAGATTCTTATTACTATGAGCATAATCTATGCTAGGGAAATGCTTTATTTATTTCATGTAATTATTCTTATTTATAACAAAGTCCCTCTTATCCTAAATTTGTTATTACATATATTTTCTGTCGCCACATCAATCATGTTGCCGCTTCAAATAAAAAAGATGTGAAGAATTTATGAATTCATAAAGCTTATATTACAAATATAGGCAGTAGTATTGCATCAAGCATCTGCCATGTTGCTGAATGTATCCAGGAAAACTTTTGCTCCAAGATTGAAGGTGTTTTTAGATGACCATCACACGATTTTACTTAGAAGCAACCGCCTCATTCATCCAACTTTCAAATTCTCTCAAAATCAAAATTCAATATTCATGATAAAATCCCAACCCATAAATATCATTTTTATCAAATTTTCAATGATTTGATCATGACA